GGGGGGGGGGGGGGGGGGGGGGGGGGGAGGGGAGGGACCCAGTGACTGCGCCGGGGGAGGGCATGTTCGGGGCTAGTTTTCCTGGTCTTGATGCGCGGGATGTTTCGGCCATCGAGACAGGAAATCTTGTGGACGGGAGGTGTGTGTGTGTGTGTGCAGCCTTGAGGCGCAGGCACCGGGAAAAAACGCAGTGCCGCGATTGTGACCCCGGAAGAGGAAAAAAGCAAAACGTGGTGACCCGTAAAAAAAAAAAATATCGGAAAAAAACGTTACACGAAGGGGGGTCCGAAAATAAAGCGTGCTTGTGTTGCTTCGTAGCTAACGGTACTCTTCCGCGGCAGAATGAAAGGAGCAACTCACAGCGGGGTGGTCGTTCTGTGGTACGACCACGGCCTCACGATGGCGAGGGCGCCGATGAACTGCACGCTGTCCGTGATGTAGATCATGGCCGCCAGCACCAAGCGGTGGAGGTGGGACCCCAGCAGAGAACCAAGCGGAGCGCCTGTCGGGAGAGAGATAGAAAAGAGAGAGGGATTGTTTTTGGGGTTGGCCGAAGCTCCAGCAGTGTGCGAGTAAGATGGCCAGGGTACAGGCTAGGGGATGAACGAAAGCACTGCTGAAGCTGGAATCAAGGCTAACATTCGACAACAACACGACGTAGTCCAGATCTTCGGGTAGCTGTTGCGGTTGTTCATCGAGGGATTACGCCACAGCGTTCACCACATACGTGGGGCCTCTGACACCCATCACGGATCAAACGCAACAAAACGTGGGATGGATGCGACGCTCCTTCCTTCGACAACAGCAACGGGCTTTCACGAACGACAAAGCAGAGACACAGCAAACCTCACCATTCCTTCCAGCATCACAACAAACAGCTTGTCGCCTGCAAGCAGCCAAGAAAAAAAAAAACACAGGGGGTTGAGACAGGCAAAAGCACCCTACTGTCGCTCCCAAAATATCGACCAAAAACGGGCACAAACATTCCAACACCCATGACCAGAATCGTTAGCTCGTCGGTCGTAGGCTCACCGATAACGACGACGGGGACACAGACGGTGAAGAACCTGACAGCCTCGGGCTCGACGCCTCCCATAGCCAGCTGCCGGTACATGAAGCCGACGAGGGTGTTGATGGCCATGAGCACGACGCTGGTGGGTGTGGCCGTCTTCTCGGATACCCGGAAGAGGAGCGTGAGGATCGAGAACGTGCAGATGTCGATGCCGCTGTTGTTGGAAAGCAATCAAGGGGGGGCAACCACACGCGAGTACAAAAATGAGCAACCACAAAGCGCGCGTAAGAATGAAGTCCTGGGGTGGGGTGGTTGATCAACACAAGTTGTGTAAAAAACACCGAGTTGAAAAAAACCCGGAGAGGTTGGGGGATTCCCGAAGTGACACTGGCTTCGGACATGAACGGCGTTCAGGGTACAAAACAACTATTATCCAAGATTAGTTCAGGACAGGTCACACGAAACACCAAACACGGCCTTTCCCTCAAGGGATGGGGTCCAAGGACATACGTCAAGCAACGATACCCAACAATCCCAACCAACACCAACCACACAAACCCTGTGCCTGTCTAGCTCAGGAAAGTGGAATAAAAGGGGTTACGTGAAACCAACCGGCGACGTCACCAAACCTATACCATACGATTTCGTGCCGCCAACTGGCCCCCCATCCATCAACACACACACGCAAACGAACCTGCCGGAAATGGCGCTGAAGATACCCCCCACGAACCCGCACAGGAAGAGCACGCACGCCTTCCAGTTCACGGAGACTCCGAGCTTGGCCACAGGGAGTTCCATCTTCCAGAGGACGCCTTCGTCCCAGTTGGGGATGGAGAGGAACACTCGGCGGTCGATGAGCCGGTTGAGCCAGAAGAGCGAACATGCGAACGCCGCCCAGGTGGAGACGAAGAACATCTTGGAGTACGCCGGCTCCAGCCTCGGGGCAACCTTGTTGTCCGAGGGGGTGACAAGGGGCCGTAGTCAGGGTTTACAGAGACGACAGGCCAGCCGGCCGCGAAGGTCGAAGAAGTCTATCTACTGCTGTGATTCCAGGGTTATCTTGAGAACTGCCGGGTCAAGGACAATCGTTTTATGGTGATAAAACAAGCGATAGTGAAAGGGATTTCGAAGAGAACGCAGGCCATCGACTCGTCGTGCAACCTGTTGAAAACCTCATCAGGGTCTTTGCAACAAGTGTTTTCGACAAGCTTGGCTCGATCGAGCCTTGGAACCAGCAACCCAATCCTCTACCAGACGACGTTGTTGCTCACGATCGCGTTGGTCCAAACGGGTGGCAGTGTTGCATTGAAACAATAAACCCAACCAGCAGGTGGCGCGATGAGGCACACAAGCGTGCCTGACGGGGCAAGGCGAACACGAGAGACAGCAGTGCAGGCAAGCCGGCAGTACTGCACGGATGAGAAGCAAGTGCAGGATCGCGGAGAGCGGGTGCGCAACGGTTGTGCACCCGGAGGGCGCTACGCCCAGGTTCCTGTGTGATGACATACATATACATGCAGTAAACGTGCCTCGACATGTGACAACAATAACGGTCATTCCCGAACAAAGAAGTGGCGAGTTATTTCGTCCCTTCAGCAGTTGCAAACCGTGATCATGTCCATGAAGAAAATTTTGACCCAACAAGCAAAAATAAACAACATCCACAAGGACAACGACTCAAGAGGGCGCCCCGCTCGCTCTCACCTCCTCCAGCCCCAGGATGATGCCGGCCACGCCTCCCACGGTGGCCCACAGCAGGGAGTGCATCTCGACGTGCACCTGCATTATGACGATAGTTGCCGCGGCGGCCGTCATGCCGGCGCTCTGGATCATGAAGCTGAAGTCCCGGGCCACTTTTGGGGCGATGCCGAACGCCAGGGTCATGATCGGGAAGGCCACCGACGCGCCTCCCTGCGTGCGTCCCACAAACAAAGGGCAGCAAGGGCCGAGGTGGGTTTGTTCGGAACGTGTATTTTGTCGAGCGTCTGTTCGCCTGGACCGACGGCGGTGCCAAAGTTTCTGGTTTCTTTGAATTACACGTGCTGAGAAATCAAAACAGCTCCAAGGCGCAAGATTTTCCGGACGTATGTAACAAGAAAAACATGGCTGGGAGGCGCTTCGCGACGCACACATAAACAGCGACGGGCTTTCATGCAAGCATACACATTGTGTGATGACGTCACTGGTTTTGAAGAGAGACACGGCAGAGATGGCGCGGATAACCCGGGTGCTGTAGTTGTGTACCTGCATCGTGGAAGACCCCTTCAATGTGGAACGATTCCTAGTCAGAGTCGATGTTTACACTGCTGTGCCTAACACAGATGATCTGGATAGATTCGGGTGATTGTCAATTGCAATGATGGCTTTGGTTGGTTGTTCTTTTTCATTGTATGGCCACGGACTCATTCTGACAGCACTTCAGACAGCAGCTGCATGCCCCGAGCTTGTGTACCATGACATAATAGTGTGTGTGTTCTTCAGATCTTCTGATGGTTCTAGTACTTTTGTGACCACGGACCGAGTCTTTGCTAGATATTGGGACTAGCAACTGACACGAGTTTAATGTGAAGAAGAAGAACAACAACAACAACAACAACAACACATTTGCCTAACTTGTATCGCTTTGTCACGTCCTCGACCCTCAGGCCATCGACAAGACATCCATATACACCAGGGACTTGCAACGCCGGCTACGCATACAGCTAAATAGTTAGCGCCCACACTCCAAATTTGCCAGTTTCAGAAATACAGCCTCTAGCAACCGGAAGTATATACTTGTACTTGAGCTGCACTTGTGGCTCGGTTAAAAACCTCTTCACTAAAACCAACATAATACCGGCCAATCCTAGCATTACCCTACACGAGCCCAGCCTCTCCCACAGCTAGCTTATTGAGAGCGTGCGTTAACTGCTGTACAACAATTGGCTTTTCTATTTTGAGATGCTTCCCACACTCACCTCGCTTGTGGCCCCTGCGACCATTGACCCGAAGGCCATGGTGACACACATGTACCAGTTGGGCGTGTCCGCGGTGACATCGGTAAAAAGATCGAAGGTCGACGGGTGCGTGGCGGCGTAGCTCCACCAGATGATGTGCGCGATCAGGCCCGGGACAACAAAGCCTACCAGCCGCCTGTGGCGAACGAACCTGCGGGAGAAGGGGAAGATGTGTTCATTTATAAAACAGCTGCATGCGATTGCCGAATGAAACATGAGCTGCGTACACGAGACAGCAACCAAGTCAGCCAGCCAGCCTCCAAAGCTCTCGTCGAAAACGTGGCCTGTCCGGCAAGTGAGCACGGAATAACTCCCTGCCCCCAAGGGTGCGCGCAAAAGGTCATCCCGTATTCCTAGCTATAGAATGTATATGCATATACAACGTGTTGTTGGAAATTACGGTACTGCTGCTCACCATAACAATTCCCGGCCAACTTTGAGTGCTCTAAAATTCTCCCTTGTTGTTCATCGAGATAAATATGCATCAAACACCTCACACGTGCCTCATGAGTCTGGACGGTAACAGCGCTGCCACGGTAAGGGTGCAGGGAGCTGTCCTCTATCTTACAGTTAATTTATGCAAACAGCAGTGAATCATGAACAGCAGCGGGTTCAGACAGCAGCTGCAGCAGCCGCGGTGCTGTTTTGCTGCTGCTACCAGTGCGGCAAATAAACTCTACTGCTGCTCTCCCCTGTCGGTATGACCGGTACGTGCGCAGCATGGTACTTGATTGAGTGCATACGCATAGACTATGTGTAGATCACGAACGCTCCGCTGCTCTGCGGTGGAGGCGTGAGCTTACCAGCTAGCGGAGGGATCGACCGCTTTGGTTGCTTCTCCCTTGAGAGTCTGGCCCTCCCACAGCTTCGGCCACTTGCTGCTGCTTGTCGTGGCGACGGGCGCCTGCATCTCGGTCGAGGTGGTCATGGTGGCGAGCCTGCGCGGCGCACAGCGAGCGTGGGCCAACAGTACACAAGAGCCCTGTGAAAGGAAACCCGACTCTCGTGGTGCGGACAAAACTTGTGAAAGGCACCGTGTGCTGCTGCTTCAGGCACGCTTTAGGTATCACTCTCGTCGTAATCGCAAGAAGACAACCCAGCTTACCTCACAAGCGTTCGGAAATTTTTATCCCGGTCCGCTGGGAGCAGATGGTTGTGAGGCACGGGGCGCAAGGAACGGCGACAGCCTGTGGCGCGGATCTGGTGAAGCCCTCTCTCCGCTGATAAAAAAGTGTTGTGAGGTGGCCGAAGAAGGCGTGACAACAGACGAAAGAATTGAATATGAATGACTCTTTTGGGAGCGAGCGCTCGCTCGCATTGTCTGATCGAGAAATTTCCCCTCAATTTCCTGGTACAGTCGAGGGACCCTTTTAGTGCCGGTTGAATAGTGCCAGATGCCCTTACAGTAGGTGGCCCGATATAGTGGCAACCTGAATAGTAAAGTGCCCGATATAGTGGCATGAAAATCTCCTGGCAAAATCTCAACCCGATATAGTGGCACTTTGCCACTATTGAGGACGGGGCCCTCAATAGTGGCACTTCGGGCATCACACACACCCAATAGTGGCAGTTCCAACTAGTGGGCCCCTATACTGCTGTACCACACCTGCCCACACACACTCTCACTAGTGGGCGCCACACGTATCATGCTAGTATGCGCGGACCAAGAACTGTGTAAACTCCCAAACCGTCCACTGGGAGAGAAAGATGGGCACGAGTGTCGCCTTGGCTGCGGTGGCAGGCTTCATGGGATATGTGGTGAACCAGAGGAGGAGGGCGGCCAAGAAATACACCGCGTCTGCAACCCGTGCATCGCCAAGAAGCAGAAGACACCCGGCTCCTCGAAACAGCCTAAGCGTGCCTCGCCCGAATTCGAACTTGCCGGAGATGGCGCCGCGGCGAAAAAGACCAAGCCAGCCGGGAAAGCGGGAAAATCGACGCGCACGCGGCTCAACTTCGGCCAGCAGCTTGAGGTTCTCAAGCTCTCGAGGACGAGAAGACGAATTCTGAGAGTGCGGGGAGTGGTGGGAAGAAGGCGCCGCCGTCGTTCGCGGAGCTGGCTGATTTTTTTGGTCCTCTAGAAAAATACGCAGAGTTGTGTGGCATTGGTGACGCCGGGCACTTTCTCCGCAAGGCGAAAATGGCATTCTTGGCAGCTACATTCGCTAGACCGGCACGGCAGTTGGACATTAGAGTGTTTGCCGACTTGTAGTGCAATCAGTCGGCTGACGCCTACAGTTGCAGAGCATCGTGGTGGTTGGGTTGATGCGCCGGGGTGGGGGTGTTTGATTTTTCTAGTGCTGTAGGGCTGTTTCAGTTAGTTTCGCGTCCCTACATTGCTGTTTTCATGCGTTCTACACGTAGTGTTGAACCCCATGTTACACTGCCCGCCGGACAACAAAAAATGATGTGCCACCTTTGATACAATGCGTTTGGACGTGGTTCCTGTGGTCTGCTTGCACAGAAAAAACAGGTCTTGACCACAGAAGGCTCGGTAACCGTTGGATAATCAACGGCCATTTCATGTGTTTCATGCGGATACTGCTGCACACAAATAAACCACGAGGAGTGGAACAGTATACACGGCTTTACAGCGCATAATGAGTGTACAGCGTGAAC